GCTAGAGATAGAGGCAGAGATGATGATGTGGAGCGATGGAGCAGCTGGGAACTCTAGACCCAGAGAGGGAGAGGGGCTGTGTGCTGACCAGAGGGCAGGCTTGCAGGGTGTACCCTTTAATTTGTTGATGATGCATGGAGGGGATTGTAACCTTGGCAATGTAACGATATATGATAGGATAAATGTAAAGCAAATGTTCTCCCATGTAAACTATCACGTAATTCATAATAAAACAGTTAAAAAAAAAAAAAAGCTAATGATCATGAACATTTCTTCATATGTCTTTTTTAAATGTCTTTTGTTTTGAATGTCTTCTTTGGTGAAGTGTCTGTTCATGTCTTCTGGCCATTTTAAAAATTGGGTTGGTTGTCTTTTTCTTGTACAGGTGTTGTAGTTTTCTATAAATTTTAAAGAATAGTCCCTGTCTGATAAATCATTAGAAAAAAAGTTTTCCTTGTCTTTGGGCTCTCTTTTTAAGTCCCTAGTATAAGGTCCTTGAGGTTGGCAGCAAAGTTAACTCAGATAACCAACAGATACTTGGTGAATGAAAGAGTAATTGGATATTGGCAGAGGTTTGTAGATATTGTATCAGTTTGGCCTTTGATTATGTGACTGAATTTATATTTTATCATTTATATAGCATATTTTTATGTTATACAACCAAGTATACAGTTGACACAGCAGGGGATTTGTGTCATATGGACACATGTGGACTTTACAGATTCCAATTGGATTTTTCCCTTCAGGGATAAAAATCTGAGCAAGCAATGTTGAAAACCACTTTTTCCCAATAATCATTATTTTTGCGTGTTTGTAGGCATTCACATAGGAAAAATTCAAAATTTAGGGAGGACTATGAAGAGTATGTCCTGAGAGAAAACATTCCCTTCACCTCCCACCTTGAGTAAAAAGAAAAAGAAATTGAATTTAATGTTAATAATTAAAATTTGATTCTAAAATATAGGACATTGGGAAATATGCATATAATCTTTTTTTTTTTTTTTCTTTTCTAAAGGAGAGACTAAAGCTTACTTATGTGGATAAGAGTGAAATCCTGGAATCTCAGCTGAAGTTTCTGCGGTAAAATGAAATCATCCATTTAAAGTCATAGGAAAATCAGAATGACCTTCATGAGTTTATATTTAATGGTTGCTTAAATGTCGGTTTTGATCAATGTCAGAATTATTTCATTATATTTTGAATTATGTGAAATATAAAATTTTTCTTTGATTATTAAAAGATAAATGCAAATAAAATTGTAGTTCTTTACCTAATTCTATTTCAAAGAACCATGAGCTAAAAAAAGCTATAAGTTGTATCCCTTCTTAAGTATTAAAATATTTGTGTATTTTCATAAAAATAAGAATTACTAGCTGTTCTTATAGAAATGATTATTTTTAAGTAAATTAAGTAGTAAAAATTAAACACTCTGGTTTTTAAATAGCAAGCAAGTGCTCTTTTCTATGCAATTATTCTTCACTTAATTTTTGAATTGCCACAATATTATGATACTTTGTGGACATGATGAAGTTTTACATATTTTAATGTTTTCAAAATTCCAATAATACCTGTATATTATAGATTAATCATTAGTGATTTAACATGTAGAAAAACACCAGAAATTATTTTATTTTTAAAAGTTTATGTAAATAGTGGCACTTAGGTTAATATTTAAAAAGTGATCTGATTTTTTCATTTCTTTTATCTTACTTTCTTATATTTTTATTTCTGTTATATCAGTTTGTTGTACTGTGGTGGCTTGCATGTTGCTGTAATTTTGGAAGCTATGCCATGGGTATTTTAAATACCAACAGGTTTAAGCTGACCTTCCAGATGATGACAGTTTAGGAAGAAGAAGAGATGCCCTACTTCCCAATATTTAGTCACTGAAAACCTTATGAATAATAGTGGAACACTGTCAGCACCAGAATGTTGAATATTGAAACATGATGAAGAACACCAGATATAGTGCCAGAAGATAAGCCCCTCAAATTGGAAGATGCTTAAAATGTGACTGGGGAATAGATACCTCCTCAAGGTAGAGTTGACAGTAATGATGTGAATGGAGTTAAGCTTTTGAGACCTTCATTTGTGGATGGGACACAACTCAAAATGGAAAGAAACAGCTATAAATATCTATTAATAGCTGAAACATGGAATGTACAAAGTATGAATCTAGGAAAATATGAAATTGTCAAAAATAAATGAAAAATGCATAAGCATCGGTATCCTAGGCATTAGCCTACTGAAATGGATGGGTATTGACCATTTTGAGTCTGACAGTGACATGGTTTACTATGCCGGAAATAACAAAGAGTAATGGCATCGCATTCATCATCAAAAAGAACATATCAAGATATGTCTTAAAGTGCAATGCTGTCTATGATAGGATAATATCCATAGGCTTACAAGGAAGACCATTTAGTACCACTATTATTTAATTTTTGCACCAACCACTAAAGCAAGTGATGATGACATTAAAGAATTCTACCAGATTCTTCATTCTGAAATTGATCAAACATACAATCAAGATGTATTGATAATTACTGGTGATTAGAATGCAAAGGTTGGAAATAAAGAGAAAGATCGTAGTTGGAAAATAGGGCCTTGGTGATAGAAATGATGCTAGAGATCGCATGGTAGAATTTTACAAGACCAATGACTTCTTCATTGCAAATATCTCTTTTAATTAACCTAAAAGATGACTATACACATGGACCACACCAGACGGAATATACAGAAATTAACTATATCTGTGGAAACAGAAGGTAGAAAAGCTCCATATCACCTGCCAAAACAAAGCCACTACATAGACTTAGAGGCAGTTGGTTGAGCAGAACAAGGAAATACTGAGCGGTTTAAATTTAGGAAACGTGTGCACCAGGGTCTTTGACCCTACTGATTCAATCTGTATGCTGAGCATATGATCCGAGAAGCTGGATTGTATGAAGAAAAATTTGGTATCAGGATTGGAGGAAGGGTCATTAACAAGCTACGATATGCAGATGATACAACCTTGTTTGCTGAAAGTGAAGAGGACTTAAAATACTTACTGGTGTAGATCAAAGACCACAGCCTTCATTATGGGTTGCATCTTAGTGTAAAGAAAACTAAAAATCCTCACCACTGGATCAACAAACAACATCCATGTAAATGGAGAAAAGATTGAAGTTGTCAAAGACTTTAAACATCGTAATGTGTTGGATAGATCTGCTGTACAAGACCTCTTTAAAATGTTGAAGAGCAAAGATGTCTATTTGAGGACTAAGGTGTGCCTGAACCAAGCCATGGTATTTTCAATACTTCATATGTTACCCTGTATTACTCTCAAAACAAAAGCTCATACACACAAAAAAAGTTGTAAAGTTAGAAAGGAAGTCTGTAGAAGAATTGATGCATTTGAATTATGGTATTGGAGGAGAATATTGAAAATACCATGGACTGCCAAAAGAACAAACAGATCTGTTTTTGAAGAAGTACAGGCAGAGTGCTCCTTGAAAGCAGAATCATAAGTCAGACACATTATCAGAAGGGACTAGTCCCTGGAGAGGGTATCATGCTTGCTGAAGTGAAGGGTCATAAAAAAGAGGAAGACCCCCAATTTGATGAATTGGCACAGTAGCAGTAGCAATGGGCTCGGGCATAGCAATGATTGTGAAGTTGGCACGAGACCGGGCAGTTTTCCCTTCTGTTGTGCATAGGTTCACTGTGAGTTGATACTGACTCAATAGCACTTAACAACAACAACAATATTCTGATTTGATTCTTCAGTTCTTTAAGTAATGTGTTTTGAGATCAGAATACCAATGAGGATACAACTTCTTTTGTCTCATTCATAATATAAATATGCCACCTTTAATTACATTAAAATATCAGCATGTAGTAAATTAGACTTCTTTATTCTCTGCCTTCTGTTTCTTTGTTTTCTTTTGGTATAATTTAAGATTATTAAAAGAGGTATTTTGCTAAAGAAATAAAATCAGACTCCTTTTCATTTTTTGTTTTTTCTCTTTGCTATTTCAAGTAAGGAAATACTTTAGTGTTTTGTGTTTAAACGTGACAGAAATCGTAAGGGAAATCCTTTGACTTAGGAATGTTCTTCCAAAGTTGTTTTCATAAGGCCTTTGAAAATCAGACTTTCTCTATATGATATTTAAAAGAAACTTATTATGTTGGAGATATTATTTTAGGCATAGGACAGAATAGCTCCCCCCTTTTTTGTCAACCTTACACTGAGGTCAGATTAGCTTTATTTTAACCCTCAGTTGCTTACAAATATTTTCTATTTCCTTGGGCTGCCTGAAATCCCCCAAATTCTAAATTATGGAGTGATATATGACAGATATGTGTCTGGGTTGCTGGTTTCTCCTCTGGGACAGTAAGGAAGATGGAATAGCTAGAGATCCCTGAGTATAATAGAGACTTTGGTTCCAGAGGGTTGATGAAGCCAGAGATAAAGTGCCTGCCTTCAGTTCAATAATTTAAGAATAACTTTCTTCTTTTTGAGTTCAGGAAGTTTGCTTTTGAAATATACGGTGGGAAAGGCAGGTTCAGGCAAGGAAACTCCATTGCCCAAGTTGACTTTAACAAAGTTTTACTGAGGAGATTCAAGAAAATATAATCTATATACTTATCACTTCATCCTTAAATAGTCAACTTGAAGAAAAATCTCATCCATGGGGTTTTCTAATAAATTAAACATGCACATACAATTCCCTGTTCACTTCTTTTAGCAAGTTGCATATTTCCAGCTAATCACAGCTATTATAGCAGTCTTACGGCTGGCAAGTTCTATATAACTTCTTTTTTATCATTCTTTATCGTTTTTGTTGTTGTTAAGTGCTGTCGAGTCGGTTCTGACCCACAGCGACCCTGTACAGGGTTTCCGAAGCTGTAAATCTTTACGGGAGCAGAACGCCTCATCTTTCTCCCGCGAAGCGGCTGGCAGTTTAGAACTGCTGGCCTTAAGGTTCACAGCCCAATTCGTAACCACTACGCTACCAGAGCTCCTTATCATTAGATAGTTTTATTTTTTTCTTATGCTTTCCACCCGAAGAAGAATAAGCAATAATAGGTAGTCATTGATAAAAATCTATGATCTGTATGGTGATCTTTTTAAAGAACTTTGTACAAATTGTAGGATTCCTGGTAGCACAGTGGATTATGAGCTAGGCTGCTAACCACAAGGTCGGTAGTTCGAATCTACTAGTCACTCTGCAGGAGAAAGATGAGGTTTTCTGCTCCTGTAAAGATTTACAGAATAAGAAACCTGGGTCTCTATGAGTTGGAACCAACTCGGTGGCAAACCCTCACCCCCACAAATTGTACTTTTAGGGGTCAACATTCGAAAAAGGGTATTTCCCTAACATCAAGAATGTTGTGTTATGACTCTATCCATTTTATTAAGCAAAACTATTTAGTGTTTGTATTTGAAGTAGTGCTTTTGTTTTGTGAGCAATACAGGGTAACAGCAGTGAGATCCTGTAGAAAGAGAGCCAGCATTAGAGCCAGACAAGTCTGTGTTAAGCCTTTACAAGAACTTGGGCTAATTATTTAACATATTATGAGTCTTGTTTCATTAAGCACATCAATCAGAATCCCATACCTACCTGCCAGGGTTGCACTAAGAATGCACCTTCTATAATTTTTGGCTTATAAGTGATTGTTGTTGTTATGTGCTGTGGAGTTGATTCTGACTCATAGCAACCCTGTACAGGGTTTCTGAGGCTGTAAATCTTTACGGGAGCAGAAAGCCTCATCTTTCTCCCACGGAACAACTGGTATAAGTGATAGTGGTAGTTATTGTCACTATTGTGGCATTCTTGAAACTAATGGACTTTTATTAGAATGGATTTTCCTTTTTCTTTTTCTCTTTCTAGGAAAGACTTAACTGAATATCAGAAAAAATGTGAAGATCTTCAAGAGCGACTAAAACATAAAGAATCTCTGCTTGCTGCTAATATTTCTAATCGTGTTGGTGGTCTTTGTTTGAAATGTGCTCAGCATGAAGCTGTTCTTTCCCAAACCCATAATAATGTTCATGTACAGACCATTGAAAGATTGACTAAGTAAGTATACTGGTACACATGATGGAGTCTTTGGCAGCACTGAAACTTAGGTCTGTTCAAGTGCATTGTGTATTACTATTATCCCCATACTGAATCAGATGTGAATAAGCTTAAACTAAAAAGTATTTTTTAAAGTCCCTTCAAAGTGGCTTTTCAATGACGGAATAGGTGGGTTCTATAAACAAAAGTCCCTTCAAAGTTGCTTTTCAATGACAGAATAGTAGGTTTGAACTGCCAACCTTGCTGTTAGCAGCCAAATCGGTAACTACGTCATTTTGGACAAGTAATTTTATTTTTCTTGGTCCCATTCTCATCTGTGAAGTGACAGAACTGAACTGCATAATCTTTATAATTCTGTCTAGGCTAAAAGTGCAGCCCTATTCTTAACAAGGCATGATTTGGGGAGGAATACTTTTTTTTCTTTTTTTTTGTCCATCTAGAGACTTTTATTCAGGGTTAGGAAGAGGAAGGTGACCTCTGCCAGAGAGAGAAAGCAGAAGGCAGATAAAAGGGGAGAAGAAGAAGAGACAGAAAGAAGAGAAGAACGGGGAGGAATACTTTTGATTTCCCAACTATCGCAGATCATCCTTCTACTTTCTGTTCCCATAAAGATTGACAGCCTCAGAAACCCTATATAGGGTTGCCATGAGTCAGAACCAACTCCACGGCATATAACCACCACTACCACTAGTTTAAGTAGACAGAGTTATTGTACATCTTCATCATGTGCTTGTTATTAAGACGATTATGAACAAGAACCCAGAATATCCTCATATTAATATTTAAGGATTGGCTAAGGAGTCCTGTGTGGCACTGTGGGCTAATGCATCAGACTACGAAGTCGTTTGAACTGCAAGGTCAGTGGTTCAAGCTCACCAGCTGCTCCTTGGAAACCCTATACAGGGTCACTGTGGGTCAGAATCGACTCAACGGCACTTCACAACAACAACAAAGGATAAGTTACACACTAGCTTTTATGTAGTCACTTTCCATTTGTGTATAACTCTTTTGGGCTGTTTGCATTATTCCCGTGGAAGCCTTTTCCTGTGGAAATTTTATTCCGTGGTGGATGAGAGTTATTAGCACACAATCCAAATAATGGTTTAGTAGTGTGTGTTCTTCATACACCCTATTCTTGTCTAGCCTCCAGGTTACCTCTTACTGTGTGCCCTGCTTGTTTAAATAGCCCAAACACCACTTCCTTTTAGAGGTGTGTTTTTACCATGTATGGTGATCTAGGATAAGCATTGAATTGTTAGCCATAAGGTCAGCAGTTCAAACTCACCAGCTGCCCTTTGGAAGCCTTATTCAGAGTCGCTATTAGTCACAACCAAGTCAAAGGCACTTAACAACAATAACAACTCCATTTTATCCTCAACTGACTTTGGATTCCTTTCTTCTGTGATTTTATAATACTCGTGTATACCTAGAGGCAGCACCTGTGTTTTGTTTAATTCTGTATCCCTGGCTCCTAGCAGACGACCTGGCCTATGGGAGACACTCAGTAAATGTTGGCTGGGCTCTCACTGCTTAGTAGGCAGAGATCTTCCCATTGGAATTGGTGTGGAGGAGTGGAAGGACTTTGGTCATTAAAGTTACATAGATTTTGCTCTCCATTTTGACTCTTGGGCAAATTACTTTACCTCTCTGAACCTTGGATTCGTCTGTTTATTGGTGGCATAGCCTGTGGCTTTGGAATCAGATTGTCTGGGTTCATATGCTGACTCAATTTCCTTGTTTTTAAAATGAGGATAAAATACCTAGTGTTTTTGTAGAGTAGAGTCACTACAAAAATATCTATTGTTGTTGTTAGGTGCTGTTGAGTCATTATGATGACCTTATGCACAACAGAATGAAACACTGCCTAGTTCTGCACCAACCTCAAAATCATTGCTACACTTGAGTTCATTGTTGCTGATGTTGTGCCAGTCCATCACATTGTGGGTCGTCGTCTTTTTCTCTACCCTCCACTTTCCAAACATGATGTCTTCCTCCAGGGACTTGTCCTTCCTGATAATATGTCCAAAGTATGAGAGACAAAGTCACGCCATCCTGGCTTCTAAGGAGCATTCTGGCTGTACATCTTCCTACACAGATTTTTTTGTTCTTTTAGTGATCCATGGTGCCCTCAACATTCTCCTCCAACACCATAGCTCAACTGCATTAATTCTTATACGGTTTCTTTATGCCAATATTGTGCTTAAATCAGTTTCTGCCATATAGTAACCCAAACCCCAATAAAACCACTACTGCTGAATCAATTTCAACTCATTGTTGTGTGCTATCAAGTAGGTTCTGACTTATGCAATCCTGTATAGGGGATATATTAGTGGCTGGTGAGTTCGAACTGCCTTCCTTGTGCTTAGCAGTCCAGCGCTTATCTACTGTGCCGCACCAGGATTTGTGAAACGCAAAATCTTTATAGGAACCGACAGCATTATCTTTTTCCCATGATGTGGGTTGTTGTTGTTGTCAGGTGCCATCGAGTTGGAACTGACTCATAGTGACCCCATGCACAGCAGAA